CCCACCCACCCCCCCCCCAACGCCCCCTCGCCTGGGCCCCGCAACCCCGACTCATGGGCCGAGCCTCTCCCCCCCACCACCAGGCTTCGCCTCATGTGCAGCTACGGCGGTCACATCGTCCCCCGCCCGCACGACAAGTCGTTGTGCTACGTCGGCGGCGACACCCGAATCGTCGTCGTTGACCGCCACACCTCCCTCTCCGACCTCTCCAACCGCCTCTCCAAGACCCTTCTCAACGGCCGCCCCTTCACCCTCAAGTACCAGCTCCCCAGCGAAGACCTCGATTCCTTAATCTCCGTCACCACCGACGAAGACCTCGACAACATGATCGACGAGTACGACCGTACGGCCACCAACAACAGCAACTCTTCCTCCAAGCCCTCCCGCCTCCGCCTCTTCCTCTTTCCCCTGAAGCCCGAATCGACGCAATCGATGGGGCCCATTCTCGATATGCCGGCCAGCAAGTCCGAGGACTGGTTCTTGAACGCGCTCAATGGCGCGTCTGGTTTGCTCAATCGGGGCTTCTCCGATTCCGCCTCCGTGAATTGCTTGCTCGGTCTCGACGACGATGGGATTTCCGGTGGCGCTGCCAATAATTTGGACTCGGCTTCGAGAGACGCCGAGGCTACGATTCCTGCGAATTGCAAGAATGCCAAACAGGGTGGTGGTGGTGGGCAGGACGTTCACTCTGTGCCCGATTCGCCGATGCTCGAAAACTCGTCATCTTTTGGGTCCACGTCATCGTCGCCTTCTCTTGCGAACCTGCCCCCGATTCGGGTCCACGTGGAAGACGGTGGCGGCGGCGGAGGTGGTGGTGGGATTAGAGTGCAGGATCAGAAGATGGGGATTGAGGAGCAGTTTGCTCAGATGACTGTTGGTGGTGGTGGACAGAAGCAAGATGAAGGTAGCTTCGTGGTGCTTTCTCCGCCGCCTCCGATGCCAACTACTATCGTGGCCTCCGCTGCGCCGCTGAGTTCGGCCACCGAGTACTTGAATCGTGTTGTGTCGGACGACGAGCGATCGGATCACGGCGCGCCGGCTGGGTATCGGAGACCGCCTCAGCCTCAGCCTCAGCTTCAGCTTCAGCCACAGACTCTGCCCGCTCAGTCTCAGCCCAAATCTATTGATTTGCCATCCCCAGATTCAGTATCAAGGTACTCCTGATTGGTAATTTATGCTCAGTCTTTAGTCCTTTCTGTTTTCAGTAAATTGGTTGCTTAAATTACTGTTGTTGTTGTTTGTGATGATCAACAAGTTCTTAATTAGTGTTTTTTTTTTTTTGCTTCTTGTGTTATGTTTGATTCAATTTTACAGCGATAGTAGTTTCTCAAATGCGTCTCGCCCAAAACCTGTAATTTACCAAGACCCAGTTGTTCAAATACCCTCTGCAAATACCAGGTTTCCTGCAAACCTTGTGGATCCAAAATTGAATATGGCTGATCCAAACACGCGGGTTCAAATGCAACAACAGCTTCATGATTCTGGGTATGTATTGCAAGCCCAATTTGATCAACAGCAGCAGCAACAACAACAGCAACAAGCACACCAGCAACACCAACAAGCACAACAGCAACAGCAATTTATACACGCTGGTACACATTACATCCAGCATCACCCTGGCTCTGTTCCAATCCCGGCATACTACCCTGTATATCCTTCCCAGCAGCAGCAACACCATCAGCACCATCATCACCCCCAGCTTGATCAGCAGCAGCAGCAGCAATACCAGGTTTATTACATGCCTGCCAGACAGGCCCAACCTTACACCAACTTGCCTGTGCAGCAATCCAATATCAATGAAGCTGCTACTTCTATCGCTTCTAGCCGCTCCCAAACACCTCCAAATTCCGCCATGGTCTCTCCTTCTGCATCTTTCAACCAGATAAGGAATGCCCAGATTGCGAAACCCGATATGGCTGCGGGTGTGTACAGAACAGCAACCGGAGCTGCTCCTTCTGTGGTTCAAGTTCCTCCTCAGCATCAGCAACAATATGTTGGTTACACCACTCAGATTCATCAATCTGCTGTTCCTTCTTCAGGGGGTGCTGCTAATTATGCGTATGAATATGCTGAGCCTTCTCATGCCCAGATATACTATACACAGCCTCTGGCTCCGACAATACCTTCTCAGTACCAAACCATGACAGCGGCTGCTGCCATGGTGCTGCCGGAAGGTTCTGCCCAGCTTCCAACTGACAACATCAAGCAGCAGAGATGAGGACTGAACAGCCTTTGTTAGTCAGTTTGAGAAGAAGGAAACAATTTTGGAGAAGTTGGCTTGGATTTTATGTTTACATTATCTGCGTTTCTAGCGTCTGCCTTGTTATTGGTAATTGGTTGTGGTATGTATTTGTGATAGATAATAAGGAACTTTGGTCGTCTCTTCAACTCTTTCGTGTATGTGATATCGTTGCTCATTGTCATAGACTCGATAGGAAATGAAAAGGTGGTCTCAGATTATACTGTAAAAGCTGGAAACTTCCAACAATATATTTATATTGTGTGTTTGTGCAGATCAGTTTCTGAATAAAATGTTTTATAAGTAGCAAGAGTATTGAATTCATGTTGCCATGCTTCCCGTTTATGAATCTCCAATCCAAGTAGATCCATATTTGCTATTTGAAGTTTTTGGCAGATTAAGATAAGAAAGAAGTCAGATTAAGAAATAGCTAATACAACGAGGGCCTCGTAAACAAGATTTCGGTGCAAAGCTTAGCTGAAGATCAGATTTGGAAATGGTGTGGCTTGGCCTTTAAACTTAGTAATGGAATCTGCCAAGATGGGGACGCAAATCTTATGTGAAATTGAGTAAGATCAAACGATAAGGACATTTTGATGTCGTGCATCTTGAAAAGTTTGGCTCACAAAAGAAAACAAACACACAATCATCTCATCCCATCTCATCTCATCACATCAAAAATTGACCCCAACTCCTCGTATAAATCCAAAAATCTCCACAAGAAGCGCATGGTATTCGTCTCTCACTGATTCTCATGTGAGTAGGCAGTGACAGAGACTCTGTCACTGAGAGAGTGCTTAGATTCTTCTGTTTCATTAACCAAGTAATTAATGCTTTAATTAGTAATTAAGTACGAGGTTCTGCGTTTTGTTTTTGGGATGGGAGAGATAACACAGCTTGTTGCTGTACTGCTGTGATTATAATTTAAGCCAACACGTGTTTTAGCACTTTTTTCAACTGTCACTGGTGCCTGCCCCTTTCTCTCCTGCTCCAGTCTAAATTCAACACAGGTGGGTCATGTCATTTAGCATGATCTTTTTGTGCAACAAATCAATCAACACGATCTTTTTGTAATTTTTTCTACCACATGAACTTTTTTGAGTCGCAGTTTGGACCATTTATTTTGACGCTTTCAACATTCAATATGCTGAATTGATCCCTAGTTTGGCGTATGGGCATCAATCGAGTAAGTACGTGAAAGAGAGAGAAAGCGCTGCCTGTCAGAAGAAGATATCGGCGCCATCAGTTCTCCTCTCATGTCACATTCCAATAAAAAGAAGAATCGTTTTGCCTTGTCTTGGATTTGGATTTGATACATACAACGCACGGGAATCACTAGAATTAATCTAATTACATGGATAAATAAAGAAAGGGGCAATGAACGGGAGGGAATAGGCAAGTTTTGCCAATCAGATTACTTCCAAAATTGCATGGCGCCCGAGTGTCGACGACGACCCAATAGCGTCGGGTCCACTAGAAGAGATTTATTAGTTTTCAATTCAACTTGTATAATGCAAGAATCTACTAATTAGAACTGGTCATTAATATTGGCTTACAAAATTTAATTTTACATCTAAAAAACACAATAATCTGGTTAGTTAACGTTAACTTCAAACACTCTCACGCATTGGTCCACCCCACAGGAAGCAAGCTGTATGCTGCTACTGGAATCTTCATTCCTGCGATTTCTCCATGCCAATCGATTTACTGAAGAAACATGGCACATCAATGGATCCAGCCGTACAACAAGGGCTGCAGCAACTGCATCTGCTGCTACTCCATCTTCACTTCTTTTAACAGATAGACTCCATAATTCAATGAGACCGTTTTCCATTCCAACTGCAAGGAGCCCGTCATTGCTCTTGCAATCGAGACCAACCCAAGATAGGGCTGTGACGCTACTATTGAACTGCGGCAGAGTCGTGAGCTGCTTAACGGAAGAGTCTTTTCCCACAGTCCAGATCTTCACTGTCTTGTCCCTCGAGCCGGTTGCAAATTCATAGCCGTATGGATTCCAAGAACATGCCCATATGATTCTTTTGTGTGCCTCCTGCTTTGATACAAGCTGGTAACTAGTTTCATCGGTGCCTAAACGGACATCAGAAGAACTATGTATCATGAAAAGTTTAACAATGGGCTTCAATCGTAGAAAGCAATGTCTGCTCTTGATGGGTGATCATTGAAAATAACACTCATAATATCATATCAACCTCTCTCCTAAAATATTTAACACCTGAACAACTCACAGCAATGAACTAGATATTGCCAGGACTTGGATTAAAGAGTACCTGTTTTATCGATTGAAAATACAGAGAACTGGCGATCCCTTGATACAGCCAACAGGAATTTGTCATCATGCGAGAATTCCATTTGTGTCACTGTCAAACTATGAGACTGCAAGCGACCGACTGCTTTCCATGAACCAACTTGCCATAGCCATATTTCTGCTACTGCTGCTGATTGGGCCTGCAATAAATATCACGTACAGTATGGGAATAATGTATCAATTCATGTAGAATCCAATTCTTTAATATTTAAAAATAATTTACTCCAATCTACCCACCAGTCAAGTGCTCCCTTTTCCTAAAGTGATTCTTTCTTAGGAACTTTATAAGAATATCCAAGTTCACATATATATAACAGCAGTACAGTGACACCATATACCTTACATGAAGAAGCAACAAGTGTCCCATCATGATCACTGCACAGAGCAAACAGCTCATTTCCATGACCGTAAAGTTTGTGTGACTCTGGCCACAGTGTATGCCATGCCAGTTGATCTTCAATGGGAGGTTCAGTGAACACAACTGGAACTGCATCAGGAATGGCTTCGAAAGTATCAAGGTTATCATTTAGATTCCTGTCTGGTGTCTGCTGCTCAGCTGACAACAAAGAGAAAAAATAAAAATACGATAAAACTATTCCAAATATACAAACTTATTCTCAAAGCATGATAGTTACAAAAATACAAGAAAAAAAGAAAAAAAATTACATTAATAGTATGGAAAAAAGAAATCTACATGACACTGGGATAAGAATAACTTATAACAAAACTAATCCAGTCCGTTGTCGATTGCTGCTCTTCCAGTATGTATAACAGAGACAAACAACTTTATTGTTCATTTCTTGAGATTTCAATTCATTGATGAGCCAAAAATGAAGCAATTAAATGTGTCTAAGGCCTACCAGAGATAGAGAGAGGGAGGAAGAGAGAGCGGAGAGAGAGAGAGAGTCACCATGAACATAAATAGGTTTCTGTGATAGCCCAAGAGCAGACATATTGGCACCCAAAATCTGAACACCTACTTGGATATCCTCAGTAAAGCTAGACTTTTGTGAAATGGCATGACCCAATGTCTTCAAGAAAGATAAAGGAGCTTCAAACACCCTGGCAACTTTCTCATCAGCTCCACTGACAAAACGATGGTTCCCTTTTCCTTGGATGATGGCCACACAGTTAATATCATGACCATGAACTTGAGGGCGAGAAATTTCATGCCAAGATTCCTCGTCTCCTAGAGACGCCTCATTTTGCCAAGGAGCAAAAATTCGAGTTGTCTGCATATTTTAAAAGGATTCTGAATCATAATTTCGACTTCAAGTAACATGAAAATCAACATAAATTTGTTTAATTCTGTTGAATTAGATGTCATGTAATCCAAAGTTATACCACTCTTAATGTCATATGATAGTGCTAAAAATTTAGCAGGAGAACTTTCTAGATGTTTTCCATATTTGAAATTAGCTTCACAAGTTCAATGCACTTAATATAGGAAACCTGAATGATACAGCATCTAAATTCTATATAAAAAAGTGCAGAATCAGAGCCAAAATCTTTTAACTGCATCATTTTAAGACAGCAAAAATTTCATTAGGGTTTACTATAATATGAACAACATATCACCTGGTCGTGACTGACTGACAGCAAGTATTGACCATATCTTCCCCACGCAATATCTGTTATTGCTGCAAAATGCCCAGATGGAACTTTTTGTGGTTGCCAATTTTCAAAATCAGTACCGACATTTTTCCAGAGATGGAAAGATCCACCATATCCATGTGCTAAAATTGAATCTCCATTAGGGCTCCAATGGCCACCATAAAACCCCAGAGCACAATGACTTAACTCTCCGACAGTAACAACATTCATCCAGATACCAGAAGTCTTTTCTGGTTTCCAAATCATCATTGTTTTGTCCATAGATGCAGATAAGATGCTCTGGGGTTGACAGTAGGCAATCCCTTCTGGAGATGCAGTTGATGGGGGTTGCCACTCCACTGAATACACCCAGTCCTCATGTCCAATTAGAAGAGATTCCAATGATACCTGATATGAGTTTGTGCCAGCAACAAGTACAGGGCCCTCTATATAAGATGCTAAGCTTATTTTTTCTTTCCTGTAAGCACTCTGGTTGCTGTCCAACGAATCCCTCAAATCCATCTTCCATATGCGTATGCCTCTGTCTTGAGAAGAACTCACAAGTAGGACGTTATTTGCCTCACCAGTGGTGCATACAGGTAATGAGAAATCTAGACTTCTGATCCAATCTGTATGCCCTTTCAACTCGCAACCTCGAACAAACTTGATGTGCAAATGAAAAAATTTAAAATATTTTAAGACACCACATGTCTGAAATAAATCAGAAAGTAAGAGTGATAATTCTGAATCAGAATACCTTTCCTCTCCTCTCCCCGCAGTAAAGGTGAATCTTGTTATCCAGTCCTCCCATTGCCAGGACTAAATAGCCAGCGCTTCCGGGCAACTCAGATAATGAAAGCGCTACCATAGGTTTTACACCAACACACAGAGAATCCAGATGCAACAAATTACAGTCACCTAAAACAACACAGCAAAGTCATATCTTGCATGCAATTTGCAAGTTCTTTCATTGTGATAGCATTTTCAGTCGTACCACTTATTACAAAGACATGATATTTTCTTGCTTGAGAGCAGTTAAAGCTTTCAACAAATGGTTGTGTCAATGCATGATGTGAACCTATGTATCTAAAGAAGAGTTTGGAGGAAAGATGTTTCCATTTCAATAAATTGTCTTGTGCACCCTTTCTTCAACATTGTCAGAAATGGGCAGAATGTGTAGAACTAATGATGCGAATTAATCCAGATATTATATCTATAAAATGCATGAAAGTGAAACAACTTTGATTTAGTCCAGTGAACTTTGGGCTCACCTCCACTAGTAGATGGAAAAACAACCTCCCATAAATGAACCGTACTATCGGAAGAAGTAGAGGCAAAGACTGCCTCAGTTTGAGAAACCATAATTCCAGTAATACATGTGACACCCTTCTTGTGCAACTGAGGT